TGCACAGGACACATGGAGCACAGGCCAAGTAACACGTGGAACATCGTTTCAGCAAAACGTTTTTGAAGCCGAGCTGTTGTCAGCCTTTTGTTTCCAAACACGTTTTGCTGACGCGCAGTGGCATGGCGCAGAAAGCACAGGGGAGCTCAAAGACGTAAGCATGTTGCTGGCCAATCAAGTTGATGGCATCCTTGCGTCGCTCGCGTCCAGTGGCGGGCTCTCCACAGCGCTCAATTTGCAGGCCAAGGTTTGTGAGGCGGCGATAGCGTCGGCGATGCTCTGTCTCTGAAGTGCCGGCTGGGCGCTTTCGACGTGTGCGACTTTGAGGATCTCCTGCCGACGGTGGCCGACCTCGCCAATTCCAAGCACTTCTTTTGTGGGCGCTGGGGCAGCAGCGAGGATGCGCACTCGCCGCTGAAGTATTCCATCAGCTTCGCGAAGCACGCGCCCATTCTCGTCGGCAGCGGCGCATCTGCAGACGACAAGTTCGAGGCGCCTCTTGCTGCGGCAAATCGAGAGGGGAAGAGGGGGTTGAGGATCAGGGCTTGGGGGGGGGGGGCGAGCAGGGCGCGGCGACAGGGCGACGGGGGGGGGGGAGAGAGGAGGAGAATGAGGAGTGAGAGGGCGAGGGGATGAGCGGGGCGGGGGGCGGGGGGATGAGAAGGAGGAAGAGGAGTAAGAGGCAGCAGCAGGAGGAAGAGGAGGGAGGGGGGAGGGGAGATAGGGGGGGGGGGGGGGGGCGCTGCCCGTAGGCCCTGGAGTTCGGCGGGAAGGCGGTGCCGAATCGCATCTCCGACGTGCTGTCCCCCGAGGATGTCGCGCGCTTCCAGACTACTCTCGAATCCGTTGAGACGGCGGGGGGGTCGGTGATCGAAGAGGCCATCCAATCGGTCGAACCTGCGGTGGAGACTCCGGTGAATCTGCTTCCCCACCTTGCTTCCCGCGTGAACGCCAGCGCCTCGGATGCCACTCAGGAGGACAAGGTGTCCGATGCATTCGCCGGGGCTTCCGAGATCGCCGAGCTCATCCAGGACGCCGCCATTGACGAAGATGCCGCGATCAAGCCGCCGATGGGGGCTGCGCCGAAGCTGAACGACCACCTCTTTCTCAAAGAGGTGAAGACCATTCACGCCGGCTTGCAGCGCGTGGTCACTGGCGCTAGCGTGGCCAAGTGGTGCCATGAGCACAGCGCTCACGACGATCGCAGCCCGGGCAAACAATCTTCTCTCACGCCATTGCTCACGACCCTGCACGTTCAGATCGGGCGCGCCCAGACCCTGTTCGACGGAACGCTGAAGCACAACAAGCTTTTGTTCACCGACAGCAGCAAATCCGAGGATGAGAAGAAACATGTCATTACCGACCTCGACAGGGACTGCCTGGGCACGAACTTCACGGAAACGTTTGCAGATGCGAAACTTACGATTCGGCGTGCATCGACGGCATCGACAGCATTCTTACTTACGATGGATACAAGAATGATTGAGTTCTGCTTGCGGGTTTCGAAGTTCACGCAGACGACCCGATGAAACAATCTCAGGTCTTGGAGGATATGCGCTCTAACCCGCGCTGCGCGAAGACCGGCGCCATGTGTGAGATGATCAAACGCGCGACGGAGGCTTGCGCGGCGCCCGCCTTCCGCCCGGGCGGCATCACTTCTGCGGAGGCGCTCGCGGCGGCGGCCAGAGGAGGAGGAGGCGGCGGAGGAGGAGGAGGCAGAGGAGGATGGGGGGCAGGCAGAGGAGGGGGAGGAGGAGGTGGATGAGGAGGAGGATACAGAGGAGGATACAGGGGAGGCAGAGGACGAGGCAGAGGAGAATCGACGAACCGAGGATTCAGAAGAGGATGGAGGAGGGGCTTCTGCAGTATAAACGCACGTCGTAGGACCAAGCAGGCCCACGACCATGGCATCCTGACTGTCGCGACCGCGCGCGCCCCCCGCTACATCGAGAACGCGCTGTCCCAGGCGGCCAACGCTGTCGAGAGGAAGACCGAGATCAAGAACCTCCGCGATCGGATGGGCCAAAGTGGGCAAGGGCAACGTCGACAAGGTGATTTGCAGGAGCATCGCATCCTGCAGACGCTGGAGGAGATGGGGCAGGACGCCTTCGAGGTTAGCGCGGCGGAGCAACCGCGGGCGGCGCTGAACCCCCGCCCGGCGAAGGAAGGGGGAGGAGAGGAGGAAAAGGAGGGAGGAGAAGGAGGGGGAGGAGGAAGGGGGAGGGGGGGGGGAGATAGAGGGGGAGGGATGATGATGACGATGATGATCATGATGACGATGATGACGATGAAAAGGAGGAGGAGGAATGACATGAGCTGGAGAGGCGGAAGACCAGGGAAAGGGCGGGGGGCGAGGACAGGGTAGGGGGGAGGAGGAGGAGGAGGAGGAGGGGGAGGAGGAGGAGGAGGAGGGGGAAGACAGGGAGAAGGTGCAGGAGGAGAAGGATGAGGATGATGATGAGGAGGAGGAGGAGGAGGAGTAGGAGGGAGAAGAGGGGGGAGAGAAAGAGGAGGTGGAGGAGGATGAGGAGGAAGACGAGGAGGAGGAAGAGGATGAACCATCGCAATCGTCGTAGGCGTCGCCGTAGTGAGAGTTTTCATCTTGCCCGTCGCACTCGCCCTGCCCGTCGCGCTCGCCGTAGCCGTAGTGCCCGTCGTATTCGCCGTCCCGTGGCGCCCCGTCGGCGTCGTGCCCGTCGCGCCCACCGTCGTCGTCGCCGCTGCGGTTCTCGCCGTCGTCGACGACGGGCCCGGACGCCACGTTTTCAGGCGCTTGGCGGGCTGAAGGCCTGCGCGAGCTGTTTCCCCTGCCCCGGGCACTTCCCGAGCCCCGAGGCCCGGCGTGGGGCCCGCTTTCCTTCTCGAGAGAGAGTGGCGCCAACGCAGATATCACCCATTCGTCTTCTTCGATTTTTCCTCGATCGTTTGACGCGGCGGCGTGGTGCCGCCTAGAGTTTGCCGCGGAACAGAAAGTGTGAGACGGCGGCGTGACGCCGCCTCAGGTTAGCGTGTGAAACAGAGAGCCACCACATCGGAGAGTGGCCACAATCTCTTGGCTGCAAGCTGATTGCTCCCCTGATGTTGTTGCCGCTGCGTTTTCTCATCAATGGTATGTTCCGCGGCCTTTGTTCCAATCCTCAACTTTCCCTTTCCCGTGCAACCTCAACTCTGAATGATTTGTTTTGCTTGTGCGGATTGAATCACTTCATCCCCGGATATACTAGTGAGGTGCGTTCCGCTCCTCAACGTTCCCCCTCCCAATTTGCCCCTCAAAGTAATCCCAAACTATTTAAAGTCATTTTGAAGTGTTTGAATTATTTGGGAATTGTTTTGATATCGGCCGCGTGTTTGAGGGGGGTGAGCGGGGTAATGAGTGGATCCGACAGCCACAAGGAGCTTGAATCGGATGATGACGCTGATGAAGATGATGCTGGTGATGATGGCGATGGTGATGATGATGACGATGATGATGATGATGATGATGATGATGATGAGGAGGAGGAGGAGGAGGACGAGGAGGAAAAGGAGGAACAGGAGGAGGAGGAAAAGAAGGAGTAGGAAGAGGCAGGAGGAGCGAGAGGAGGAGAAGGGCAACCAAAGGGGCCAGAGGTCTCTTGGATGCCTCTCGGAGCCTCTCGGGCTATCTCTTGGGCGCTCCTTGGAGGCCAATTGGGCCTTTTGGGGGGTCTATCGGCGGTCCAAGGGGGCTCTTGGGCGTCGCGGGTGTTTCGGGGTTGCTTTTTGAGGCCGCTCGGGGTCCTTTGGGGGTCCTTTCGGTGGCCCCCTGGGGGCCTTTTGGGCCATCTTGGAGCCATCGTGGGGTTATGATGGGGTCTCTTTGTGCCTCCTGGGCGCCTTTTGTTAGAACCATGTTGGGGGAGATCGATCAAAAAAGGGGGGGATCAATTAGCCGCCCCCCCAATACAGGTCAAAATGGGGCCAGGACCGGAGTAAAACTAATGAGTTTGGTTTCGTCGCCGAGGTCGTTTTGGACGCTCCAATGCGTCGCGCCCCCCCCCCCCCCCCCGTCCAGGTCCACGGGAGGGAGTACGGGGGAGGGGAAAACCCGTCCCCGCAGGGGAAGAGGGAGGGGTGGAAGAGGAAACGCCTTATAACACCCATGCCCAGAGGGCTAGTGGGTTTTTTGGGGGTAAGTCAATTTCGCTGTCGATCGCCTCCCCGAAACGTATGGCCGACACTGTTCGGAACAGAGTAGGTGCATAAACACCGAACTTCGGAGGTCCACGCGGACCTGGATCGGCGCGTGGCCCCTTCGAATTGCGGCATTCCGCGCGCCAGGGAGGGCGGATCGGCGCCGATCCACAAATTCCGCACGGGGTTCCAACAATTTTCGGTCGGATCGACGTGTAAGATCGAGGTCGGTTCGGGGAGGGCTACAACACATTGCATGTATATATATATATATATATATATATATATATATATATATATATGTGTGTATATAGATGTGTATATGTGTTTATGTATGTACGTATGTATGTATATATATATATATATACATGGATTGTTGCCGCTCCGCGCGGATTTCTCGGAACCGCGCTGGGCCCCCTCCTGGCGCTCTCCGCGCGCCAGGGAGCCAGCGCGGATCCAAGAAATCTGCGCGGAACGCCAATCGTTTATGTTTTTGCCGTTTTGTTTTGGTCTATCACAGCTGGATCGATGTAAAAGATCGAGGCCTGTTCGGTGAGGGCGCCTTGGGGTTATTCGTGTTTGTTGGATGTGTTTGTGCACCCCAGGGAGGGTACTCTTGGACGTTATGTTTGTGTGTGTGTGTCTGTTTGTGTATGAGTTGGCCGGAGTGGGGTCTCGTGTTCTCGAGGCATAAGTTTGTCTTGGGTCCGATTGTATGCTTGTGCATGTGGGCTTCCCCTGATTGTGTGTCTCCGCGATGGCTTAAGAATTTCACATGCTCCTCCCTTCTTTGACGCCAGCAACGCTCCCTTCTCCCCTTTCCCTCCGCGCCGACTGCCGGGCGCGCCATGGCGGAGTTCGGGCGGTGGCAGTGGGACGACGCGGGGTCATGGCGAGACTTTGGGGAGGATCGAGTCCTCCCTCCCCCCGTCCCCCCCATCCCTCCTCCTCGCCCTCCTCCTTTTACTCCTCCTCTTCCTCGCTCCTCTGCCTCTCCAGGTCGGCCTGGCCCCCTCCTGGTCCTACCCCTCGCCCCCCACAACGACGGCGCCGCGCGGCCACCCCCCCTGCCTGTGCTCGCACGGCGGCCCTGGTGGCCGTGCAGATGGCGGGCGCCGCGGACGAAGCGCCGAGCGGCCGGTCGTGCCCACTGTCAACATCCGTAGTAGCAAGGAGGGGCGACTTCTCGAGGTTACCATTCGCAGGCGATTCTCCTTCACCCACCCCCCGACAATTCGACGAAAAGCGGAGCCGCTCAGAAAAGGAGGGAAAGCCTGGGATGCACCCCCAAGGAGCCATTCGGACGCACCCCTATCGAGGATGGACGCCCCCCCATCGTACATCCCACCCAGGGTTGGGCCCCAAACTCATGGTCTGTTCGAAACCCCATGAAGCCTGAAATAGGGGTCGACATATCCCCTGTTAACCCGTGCATCATTTGCCCTTCGACTCATATTGGGCCACTTTCGCTGGCCAGCACCCCAGGGTATCCGTAGCATGGCCTTCGAGGGCCTTTGAATCTTGATCGTACTTCCTTACTATCGGTGCTGGTTGCACCTGGAGGAATGACCTCTCCTCGCGTAGCGCCCGGAGAGCGCGAGCAGGAAGAGGCATGCGGCGGTATCGTCAGCCAATTTCGCCCGTGTTGAAGGCGAATTTGGCAATGCTGGATTTTTGTATCGGGTGGTTTTGGAAGGTTGGCGGGAACATGTTTAAAGCATCGCAGAGGTTGCCACGCCAGGCACCCTTTTGATAGGTCAACAGTGGGCCGCGAATCAGGTGGCATTCGACCCATGCTGCCTCCGTGAATGGGTTGTAGGTCAGAGGCCTCTTGACGACTGTGGGGAGCTCTTGGGAGGCCTCTCGGAAGAAAGTTGGAGGCTGTGTTGGGGTGTCTTGGCGCCTCTTTGGGGCCTTTTGGGAGCCTCCTGGGGCGTCGTGGGGGCCTTTGAGAGGCCTCCTGGCGCTTTCAGGGGTCATCCTTGGGCGGAACGCTCGAAATGTCAGTTCGAGATCCCACTCTTGGGCACTCTTTGGCTCTCTTCGGAGCATCTTGGGGTATCTTGAGACCCTGACGGGCCGTCTTGGGAGCCTCTTGGGCCATGATGAGGCGATCTTGGGGGCCTTTTGGGCACCTTGGGCCGTCTGGGAGTGTCGAAAGGCAGAAGCAGGAGAGTCAAGAGCCGAGAGAACATGAATGATTTGTGCCTTCAGGGTGCCGTCTTGGCAGGTTTCTTGGAGCCTTCATGGAGCGTCTTTGGAGCCTCTTTGGCCGTCTTGAAGCCATCTTGGGCGTCTCGAAACTTTGGGCCGTCTTGGGATCGTCTTGGGACTCCCACGAGGCTCCAAAGTTGGGAGCCTGCTGGGGTCCTCCTGGCCCATCTTGGGGCGCCCTGGCCCAGGAGAGGTCCAGGGGCACGACTCGAGGGACACGCGGAAAGCCCCAGGGAACGCTTGGGAGCGCCCAGGACTCTGGGATGTGCGCTTCTGGAAGAGCAATTCCCGATGACCCTCAGGACGTGTGCAAACCCACTGTGCTCCTGTGTGATGCCCCGTCAGCGCCCTAGGATGCACCGGTGCCGCGGCCCGGCCGCTGCCACGGTCCCCGCTGCCGAGGTTGGCCGCGCCAGCGCACTCCGGATGGAAGTCTTCCGCCTCTGCGTGCCCCCCCTCCTCCCTCCGCCTCCGCGGCCTCCCTTTGCACGCTGGGCAATTCGCTCGTCGGCAGCCCCGTTTGGCTTGACCGCTGGTGCAGCATTCTCTGCCTCGCCGCCGATGAAAAAAGTGTGATGCCCCGTTCGGCTCTACCGACCGCGCGCAGCCCGTGTAGGGCGTCCTTGCGCCGCCTGCGTCTCGTCGAAGGACTCTTTGGTGGACTGGCACGCGTTGGCGCCAACACGTTCTGAGGATCGCCGGGGTTCGACATGCTGGACTCAAGATTTTGCTTGTGACCTGGGGACACTTCACTCAGTGCCTCGCGGCGCGGTGGCGGATGAGCACGTCAATAAGCACGCCCAACATGTTCACAAGGACGAGGAGGAGGAGTGGGCGGCTCTTCCTCCTTGTCAGTCCATCCCCGTCGTCTTCCTCTTCCGCTTCCCCGACGCAAGTTGCACGGATGAGTGAGGGAGGCAGAAGAGGGATCAAGAGGACGAGGAAGAGGAGGAATACAAGGACGAGCAGGGCGTGATTCACGAGTCGGGACAGAGGCGTTGAGGAGGACGACCACGAAGGAAGAGGAAGAGGAGGTGCGCACGAAGGAGGGAGAGAGGGAGGGGAGGGAGAACGGACGACCGCGAAGTAAGAGGGAAGGCAGAGGAGCCAACTCAGGTGACCTTCCGAGAAGAGGTGAGCACGAACGTGGGGGGGGCATGAGGTGGGCGCCAACGGACTGCTGGAACATTTGGCGTAGGGGCACACCTGGGATGCTCCAGGGACATGATGGGGGGCAGCTTGGCGTGCTCCGACTGATTATTTTTGGCCCACACCGTTGCTGTTGATCGGGAGCAGGAGATGCGACACCACCACCACCAGGGGGGGCACCTCGAACGAGGAGGTCCACGATGCCTCCCCGAGCTGGGGGCAGGGGATGCCTCGAGCTAGAGGGAGGGACCACGCCACCAGAGGGACCCCTCCCTAGCTCCTCCCGCTGGTGGTCCATGGTGATGGTGGTGCCGCTCGTTCTTGTTCTTATGTTGACCCGAAGGAGCTCCAGGCGGAGATGGAGGCGGCATTCCAGAGGAAGGACAAGTCGGCCGAGGTCCGCATCCGTGGCCACACGAGTTGACCTTGGTATGAGCATCGGCTTTCTCCTTCTTTCTCGTGTCGGCGCTGGGTCCACTCCCACACATGCTCGCGTCCTGAGAAAATTACGATGGTGGGATTTGGCTGTTTTCGGCCTTCGGGGGCCCTCGCCAGGCCCCCAAAGGCCATCAAATAATAACTCTGTATTTAATCCAGTGTCGGTGGATGCTTTTTCCTTTGTAGCGGTGGATGTGTGGGTGGGAGGTCTGGCCTCGTAGAGGGGGATCCCACGGGGCCAGGGGTTCGTCGCCAGTTCCTCTCAATTCTCTTGGCCTTCGCCTTTGGAGGACGCGCACACCTGGATTTTAGGCGCATGTGCTACCGAGGGAGCAGACATGCATCAACAGACACGTTTGATGGTCCGCGCGGTGTTCTTGGATCGACGCTGGGGTCCCCCCTGGCGACGAGGCGAAGGAGGAGGTGGAGGAGGAGGAGGAGGAATGATTACGGAATGATTACAGACCACGCAAAACATATCACCGATATGCAGCTGGCGAACGGGGAGACGATCACCCCATGCGGCGCACTGTGCGCCTCTTCTGAGTGGGGACGTTGGGAGTCCCGTCAGGCCAGCAGGTCTTCCCATTCTTTGAAGAAACCTCCCAACGTTGAATCTTGGCCAGAACTTCTTTACTTGCTTGGGTGGGGTGCTGCCCGACACAAACACTAGTGAGACCTGGCCCCAGCCTGCCTCCTGTCGGCGTTTTTGACCCCAAGCTGCCACACCTCCAACAGAAAATCTGACTGTACAAATGGCAGCAGTATGTGATTCATGCAGCCTTGGACATTATAGTTGGGGGAAGTCGGACTGGCCTACCTTGAGACCCAACTCGGTGGAACTGGGGCCCGCGACAGTCGGCTTGGCAAAGCCAGTCCGGTACCGAAAACTTCCTTGGGCCACTCTGGCAGTGGCTGCACACCCCGGAGGGACCTACTTCTGACAGCTGGTGTCCCGACGTTCTCTCGAGGTCCTTCCTTACGCGGCAGGCAGCAGACAGCGGGAAATCTTACGCTCGAAGTGGGAACCAGCAGCCCCAGCATTCAGTATAGCCAGTCTCCTCGGGACCAGCCACGCCTTTAACTCCGCTCGGGCTAAGTCTCTGACTACAGCCTCTATATCTTGTGACACAGGTTCCACTCCTTACTGGGCAAACCTGTTTGCCATATTATTTCCTCTGGAAACACAAAGCTGCTGGACACCTTTCTCTAAATAATCTCTACCTAGGTGCGAGAATCACTTACTGAGCATCACTCTATGTCCCTGGGTTTCTCCCGAAATCCTGGACCACCAAGGTTCGAGCTGTCCTGAGGTGTCTGAGAAACCGTGCCGCCCGTCATAGACTATCTGGTTGTCTGTGAAGAGCCATATGGGGTCCTTGGTCAGCGTCAGGGCCCACCAGAGTGCCGCCAGTTCAGCACAGGGAGCCGTCTGGGCCCCATCGATGCCTCCACACGCGCCAGGTCGAGGGGCAGGCGGGTCGTTTTGTCCGACAGCCTGCGCAGACTGGGCAAGGTAGACGCCCCAGCCTGCACGCGCAACGCGCGCGTTGGTACTCGACACGGAGCCGTCGAGGAAGGCCAGCTTGCACTCGATGCGCTCCTGGTCGGCGTCGGCGACCGCTCCGTTGGGCAGCACCGTCGGGCCGTCCCAGTCGATGTAGTACGGGTAGCAAGGTTCGCCCCATGACGGAGGTGGCGGCGCCGAATTCCACGAGCGAGGAAATAGACCGCGCTCCCACAGCTCGAGGTTGGCTCCATTGGTATGTCTCGAATTGCTTCTTCACGTAGCCGATCGCTTTAACGGACCCAAGGTCGGAGGCCTAGAGGTTGACACCAGCACCAAGATCGGCGGTGTGCTTTCATCGAGGGAAGATGATCCCAATCTCGGTGATGGTGGTAACATCCAGGCTCTCGAAATGGCTTAATTATTACCACCAACACCAACATCTAGGACCATCTTACCCCTGTGGAGGCAACCTCCTGGGTGTTGGTGCCCATTTCCAGGCCTCCAATAAGGGTGGTCCATCTGGCACGTGTGAGAGCAGCACTGGACGCGGTGGGCCATGGACCTCTTCCCACACGATTGGCACCTCTGGCGGAGGCCGTCGCACAGGTAGCCTGCGCTTTGGCATCTGGCCTCTGTCCACACAGTTTTGCATAATCGACCCCCCCGGAAACAAACAGACCCCCCCTTCAACGACTACCTCATTTTCTGGACCCCCTTGTCAACAGGGGGCCTTCCGATTCCGGGCCCTCGTCTTCGATTCCAAAAACAACCATAGTAAATTGGACCCCCCCGCTTCCAAAAAAGACGCCTCAAAAACCGGACCCAGGGGACGATTACTTGGGGATTTCGAGTACCGCTGCTTCCAGTGCACCTGCTGCGCGATGGCAGTCGGCTCGTCGCATTCGCTGAAGGGTTCGCACCACTGCGGTAGTGTCTGGCGGGGGGGTCCACTCTTCTCCAACGTGGTCGTTGTCCGCTTGCTGCCATAGCTCTTGTAGGACATCTGCCACAACTGTCGCCAACAACTCCCTAGTGTGATCAGCTGCATCTTCCTTGTCAGTGGAAGGTGATTATCGTCCTCCCACCTGTGCTGTCTGGTAACTGTGGATCAGGTAGACTGGTACTCTCTGGCGGGGCTGCTGCCATCCGCTGAGCAGTGCATACCTCCTGTCCTGTGCTTTCTGGTAAGGGCGGCTCAGGAAAGCTGGTATCTCTGGCGGAAGCGCTCTCGACCGCTGAGCAGAGCATACCTCCTGGCCCTCGGTAGCGGCAGATTCTTTCTTTCTTGTCGCCGGTACGGTGTCCCACCCGTCGTCCTCCATGTCCTCGAAGGGGTCGTTCTCACCATCCATATTGGACACTGGTGGGGGGGCCGCGTCTCGCGGCAAAATGTTGGCGACGCTGAACCTGGGTGAACCAGGATTTGAAGCCTCCCAAGAAGTCTCAGCCATCTGTGAAGTAGACGAAGTCGCTCTCTGGGAACAGAAGGCGTTGCACGAGGTGCCCCAGTTCTTTGCTCCTCAGGGAGGTCTCGCGCCTGGCAGCCAGCCTCCACGGGTCCACCACCTGGAGGAGGGAGCCTCATTGGGAGCGGCCGTTCCGTGCCAATACCATGACCGGCCCAAGAGACAAGCCTCCGCGCACCTGGGCTTGACGCCCTTGCCAACTGTGACGTAGAGCAGTGCCTGAACAGTGAGCCTAACTGCCTCGCAGTGCCTGAGCAGTGACCAGTGAGCAGCGCCACTCCCAGGTGCCTGAGCAGTGAGCCTGACTCTGTCCAGCGATCGCGTCGGGCCTGTTCAGGGTCCAGGTGGTGTTTTGCTCGGCGTTGCACCACAAGGAGCAGGCGATATCGAACTGGCTTGCCACGTACAGTCTCGGCTTCTCCTACTCTGCCACAGGATCGCCAAGGAGCGATCCGCTGTTTGCGCCCACTGCATGTACCTGTCGCCAAGTTCCTTACTGCCCTGCTGCGTGAGCTGGAACGTCAAGCTGCTCTGGGTGAGGTCGTCCATGTCAGGAAGGTCGCATGGTTCTGCTTGCCGTCGTTTTTGTTGCCACTTCTCGTCTGTAACTGTGGCCAAGACCTGCTTGGCGTACGTCGGGGAGAGAAGACTGTCTATCTCGTGGCGATCCAGTCCAAGGGCTATCTATTCTTCTGTGAGCTCTGCGTCGTCCTCATCGTGCTCTTCGACGGTCATGTGCTCCGCAACGCGCTGGTGCTTCTCGCGGTCCTTCTGTTGGCGCTTCAGTCCTTTTTCCGCCTGCATCGTGATGTGTGGAATCTGGTGCTGCTCAGCTCATATTGGTTGGAGCACTTTACGGTCTGCTGGTCTCCGCGCTATCTTGATCCTAATGCCGAGATGAAGACGCCATGGCACCTTGGTCACTGCCGTCACACCCCTCAGGAACGGACGGAAGGAAGGTGGGCAGAGAAGGTAATCCAGGATGCGGCCTCTTTCTCTTGCGCAAGTAGCCTGTACTCCAGTTGGGGCAGCCGGTTGCGCTGCAAACTTCTATGCCCATGGCGATTGCATACAGTCTTTTGGTGTAGCGTTCCAATCCCCCACGGCTGTCCACGGGGTCTGGATGCGGGGCACCAGCTGGGCCGGTTGCTGCAATTTCTTGGCATGTGGCCCCTTCAGGCCAGGGCCGCAGTCCAAGTGCCCGACGAAGAGATTAATTATGATGATGCCTCCTTGTCAGGTCCCAGTGCACCACCGCCCTGCCATTCAGCTCCTTCTCGAAGGTATTGTTACCCTTGGCCGTGGGCAAGTGCACTGCTGTCTGCAAGTGAGAACGGCGAAGCCAGCATACTTTCCCGTGGGTGCCTTCAAAAGAACGCCAGGTACGCCTCACTGCCATCATTGGGACTGAAGCCGCTGCGCCTCGTCGGATGCCTTCTCTGTCGTGAGGTGGTGTTCCACAAGGCCCACCAAATCGTACTTCGACTGCTCGTGACATGCCGAGCCGCGACGTTGTACTGCGTGAGATTCGCAACGAATATGCTGGAGTACTTGCCCTTGTCGTGGCTGGCGCTGGTGGTGTCATCAGGCGGATCCTGGAACCCGCATGCGGGGTCCTGGAACTTGACGCACGCCTTCCTGCTAAAGACGCTCTCCTTCCTCAACCTTGGCGCCAACTGGGTGTTTAGTTCTGTGGCGGGTCCTCGGCGTCTGCTCCAGGCATTGGTCCACATGCTCCGCTTTCGTGAAGTCATAACCTCCAGGCGGGTGCACTCCTTCTTTAGTTTTGTCTTCGGTATCGGTCGATGCGTTCTCAGTTTCAGCCTGCGCTCCTCCAGCTGTGGGCCGTCGTGAGCTCGCCGCCTCTTGCACTCCAGGGCTTTGTGCACAAACCTGCGGAGGTTCTCGGCGGCCTCCTGTCGCGCCTGCGTAGCTCCTCTGGCTGCCTCCAGGGTCTTTTGTGCTGCCGTTGCTGCTTCTCGT